TGAAGCTGGGGATTTAAAAAAATGATTTTAACTTTGTTGGTCTGCTCAAAATCACATAAAATTAAGCTTCTGAAAAGCCAATAAAGTCAGATAATTTGTTTGAGATTAAATATTCATCATATGGACGCATGCTAATTTGTGGTTGTTTAAATCTTTACTGGACCGTAGCTCTGCTCTAATAAAAATCCTTCATTTCAGCGTCACCTGGAAAAAAAATTGACTTAAAAACTGCCCTCGGAGTTAAATTCAGTTCTACTTGTTGGTACTCCAAAAAATCAAAGACGGTGGTCGAACGAGGCTCCCACTTTGAACTCCGTGTGCTTTCCGTGCACGTATTCAAGTTCCAAACACGGTTTTTCTTTAAAGTTTCCCTTTGCATTTTCAGCACGCTCGTACCTTTGGCAGAATTTTTTTCTCGAGACACATTTTGAAGATGGTTTGAAGTGATCTGAGAGAGAACACTGAGCGTTCTTCATGGCGGGCGGCGGGACTGAGGTGCTACATTTGTCACGGCTGAGGGGGTCAGGAGGTCGCCCAATGGTGTGTGTGTGTGTGTGTGTGTGTGTGTGTGTGTGTGTGTGTGAGCTTTAGCACAAAGAGCTGTCACCTGTGTGTTGTTTCTGTTACACCGGTGCGACTGTCGAAAGCCAAAGCCGCCGAGGCCCAGGCCTAGCTGCCGCTAGGCTAACTCTGCTAGCCGCGTTTCCCGCCTGACTCATTTCGCAAAGATCCGTGCTATCGCTGGGACAGGTGTTGAAACCGAGAGGAGGCGGATATTCGCGCAGATAGAGATGGTATCAGACGCAGGCACCCGCGAAGCCCCGGCAGAAAAGGAAGCTGGAGGCTGATCAGAGGAAGTGATTTCAAGCTAGCGGCTGAACCGAAAGGCTGCAGAGCTTCAAACAGGACCGGTCACCCAAACGCTTAACTATTCCATCTCATCTCTTATTCTCTTTTTCTTTTATGTCAGGCTGATTGTTTGTTTCATATTTACATCAGAGACCCCTCCACCCCCCACCCCACCCCCACTCCCATAACTGCAAATCTGTATCTCTGTTTCTGTTTCCGGCAAAGAGAATGAAATATTTGATAAGGGGAGTAAACACAGTTATCAGTTCTGCCGTCTCAGGAAGTGGTAGAAATGGATCCTCCTCCTCGTCGTTGCTCCCTGCAAAAGCAACCCTTTGTGATTTCAGATTTATTGAACGTGTCGAATGCGGCGCTGGGAGGATTTCGACTTTTTGCGGACAGTGTTAGCTGTAAGCCGTTATCAGCCGGTGGAGCTCCGGAGGGGGAAGTGGCGGCTCCCCGGGGTTAGAAAACAGGAACTGTCGTGATGCGTTTTGCATCAGGCTCTTTGTGGCTTTTTGTTTGCTGTTGAAATGTGCACCGCGGCGTTCTGAGAGCAAAGTTTATCTGGCCTAGCAACCAGATAAACCGTCAGAAAATCTGTGGAAAGTGTCCAGCTGCATATTAGATGGCCGGACGTATCTGAGGCTTTAGCTCGGGTTGAATCACGAGCTTTCTAGCCCTCCTCTGCTGCATTTCTGAGTGGAACGATGATTAATTGGGTTCATGGAAATCCACCTCCTCAACTCCAGAAACAATAATGTATAATAATCTCTAACAATTGGCCATTAAAAACTATGTCCGTGTTATTTTTCTTCCCGTCATTATCATCTAAGCTGATGTTTCGAGGCTTTTGAGCGTTTTGCATCTTGCTGTGAACCTTCTGCTTTCCCTCTGGTGAAATCACCTCATTATAGTGGAGTTTGCAGTGATATGGAAATTTCCTGGGGCGAGTTCTTTACTCTGTACGTTGAGGGCTTTCCTGCTTATGGAGGGAGTCCTGCGATCGAAGAAACACAAGCTGGCAGCTCCTGCCTTTGAACCTTACCGAGCTCAGAATCCACCACATTATTAACGCGGCTACTTTTCCCCCTAAAACCCTCTATGATGCAAATTGTGAATTCATTGCAACAGCTACCTGTCTGACTAATAAGGAAATAATGTCTAAACATCACACAGCTGCTTCTGGGAAACTTACAACCATCCAGTGTGGAGCAGTTTGGGCTTGAGAGGAAAAATTTAGCCTCTAAGTTTTGATTTAGCAACTTATCTTCATCCATTTGGGAACCAGAGATCTTGAATAGGACTGGGTAAAAAGCTGGGAAACAAAACATTAAAAAGCTGTCATTGTCCAAATATTTGAAGTTCTAATTCTGTTGTGTTTATTTGACCAGTGCGGAGCAGATAAGAGCGAGGACAAGCTTTACATGGGCACGGCTATGGCAACAGGAAATTACAAACGCCTGTTCGGGCATCCTGCCACCAATAAAATCAAACACGATTATTTGGCTGCCAGTGTTCCTACGTCCCAGCCCTGCCTGTCCCCACGGGGGGTCGAATAACCAGGGGCTGAATCAACTCATTGACCGTAGGGAGACTCAGCGGTCTGACTGTGGGGCTCGGGTCGTAAATCTCCACCTCACCAGCCACCTACTCCAGCTATGGATCTTTCTCATAACTGCAGGTCGTGTGGTGATACGTGTTGTGATTAGTGTTAGTGACAGGCAAAGACTTCAGCACGCAGCCTTGGCAATAGCCTGGATTTATTTGAACCAACAACTAATCAACAGAAAACTTTCCAGGGTGTCGGGAAAGGTCTTTATGTTAAGATTTGGGAGAAATCCCCAACAGTTCCTGCATCTTCAGGATCAGAGGCATCCAAACCTTTTAGACCCTGGATGTTGGATAAGATGCCCCCCCCCCCCCCCCCCCCCCCCCCCC